ATGCTGATAGAAATATGGACAGTAAAGACCATTCTAAGGAGGTCTCAGATAGAAATAAGATGGAGTTTATTAGAAACTGGCACAAATATCTCCCTTGCTGTGAACTGGCAAAAGAATTTGACTGCATTTCTTTTGGACTTTGCAGAAGTTGGAACTCTGGAGTTTTGATCCAGAGTATTTGGTGGAAGAAATTTCTAAGCAGCAAAGCATTAAAGAAGCTGCATGGCTGCTTGTAACAGTCTATGCTGAGTTATGGCAGCAAAGGCATGACATAAAGCCAGGATTTAAAAGGGAAGCAGAGTGTAATGATTTGGATAATTCACAGCCCAGCCATGTGGTAGAGAAGCAGGTAGCATTTTCAGAAGAAAAATTCAATAGTACTAAGAAGATTAACACAAAAAAAGGGGATAATCAAGAGAAGGGGGAAAGGCCCTGAACATTGCAGAAACTTCTGGGGCAACCCTTCCATATCAGGCCCTAAGGCCTAGGGAGACAAAATGATCTTGGAGAACAAGCCTGAGGCATCCTCCACAGGCTCACTGCTCAGGGCCACCTCGGGAAGCCGCTTCTAGCACCAGCACCCTCACTGTTTTGGCTGCTACAGCCATAGCTAAACTGGCCCCAGATGTGGCTGGACCTGCAGCTTTGAAAAATGCAAGCTGGAAGCCTTGGAGGCATCCACATGGTGTTAGGTCTGCAAGACTCACAGAATGCCAGAGCTGTGAATGTTTGGGAGCCTCCATCCAGATTTCAAAGGTTGTATGGAAGAGCCTGGGGACCCAGGAAGAGATCTGTCACAGGTGTGGAGTCACCACAGGCAACCTTCACCAAAGCAATGCCAGGCTGAAATGGGTTGGAGTTGCAGCAGAGATATCCCAACAGCGTAATAACTTCGTGTTAGGTCTGCAAGACTCACAGAATGCCAGAGCTGTGAATGTTTGGGAGCCTCCATCCAGATTTCAAAGGATGTATGGAAGAGCCTGGGGACCCAGGAAGAGATCTGCCACAGGTGTGGAGTCACCACAGGCAACCTTCACCAAAGCAATGCCAGGCTGAAATGGGTTGGAGTTGCAGCAGAGATATCCCAACAGCGCCATGCCTAGTGGAGCTGTGAGAATGGGATCGCCATGGAGACCCTAGACTTGTGAGCTACCAGAGTGGAATGACAGCCTAGGAGAGCTAAAGTGTGGCCTGACACCAGGAAAGTCATAGCAGCCGAACTGCTCAAGGACTTGGGGGCCCAACACCCACAACAGCATGCAGAGGGCATTGAACATGGAGTAAAGGTACGTGATTCACCATCTTTGAGATTTAATGCCTTCGCTGCTGGGTTTTGGACCTGTTTGGGATGTGTTATCCCTTTCTTTTGGCCTATTTCTCCCTTTTGGAATGGGAATATGTACCCTATGTTTGTCCCACCATTGTATCTTGGAAGTAGATAATTTATATTGATATCACAGATGGGACTTTGAACTTTGGACTCTTGAGTTGAACCAAGTTAAGACTTTGGGGATGAAATGAATATATTTATTTGCATATGAAAAGACATGAATTGGGGGAGGGGGCAGAATGTAGTGGATTGAATTATGTCCCTCGAAAACTCATTAAGCCTTGAATTGTGTCCCCCAAGTTTTATGTATTTAGAAACTTCATCCCCACTGTGACTGTTGAAAGGGTGTGAAATCCTATTATGATAACTGAAAGGTAGAGCCTTGAAGATGTGATTGGATTGTAGGACCATGTCCTAGTGGATGGATTAAAAATGGTGGTCAGGGGTGTGGTTCTGAGGGCTTTAAAAGAAGAGGAGAATCTGTCTCTCTGCTTCTACCATCTTTGCAATGTGAGACCCTTGAATTACAGTCACCACCACCAGATGTGTTCCTTGGACTTTGGACTTCCCAGCATCAGAAACTGTAAGCAATAAATTTTGTTTTCTTTATAAATTACCCAATTCTGTGTATTTTGTTATAAGCAATAGAAATGGACTAATACACAGGTACCAACAGTCACTCAGGCAAGATCACATAATACAGACACTGGGAAAGCCTGGGAAAATAGGCCCTACCTACCCTCTTCAACAAACACTCCTCAGTTCTCACAGTTCGGAATTACTCTTCTGCAAGACCCTACCACGGCACTACAACCATACCTCCCATCTCACCTACTGCTGCGGTTTATAAGTTTTATTTTCCCTTCTCGCTACCGTAACCCAATTTCTGAAGGACATCATAAAGTGTCTCTATATCAAAATTTCTTCTAATTTCATTTTTTAAAGCTCATCATGCTTTGTTCCCTGTACTTTATCCCTCCCAGGACAACTAGAACCTAAAATATTGTGATCAGTGATGAATATGTGTTCTCCAGGTGAGGTGTATTGCTGGTAATTAAACAGTATTAATTCCATCAGCTTTGATTTATATTCTGCTCTCTCAGTAATAAGCCTCAGTATTCTATTTTCTTTCTGCCTAGCACTGAGTAATAGAACTGGTGTTTAAGGATTATCATATAAATCTACTTTTTGGTTAGTCAGTGTTGGAGACATTTTTCAGTATATTACAACTGTATTCATTATTCCTTTGTTCATAAAAATAATTAAAAGCTATAGCCCAAACACAAATTCCCAGAACACAGAAACCTCCACTGCCAAATACCAAGGTTGCCAGCTTCTTAGTTTGCAGGGGATTTTTTTAATGAGAACTCATATCTTCTCATTCAATAAAGGGCTTAGGTGGACAGTTCCTTCTAGCATTCTCAGGAGTTATAAAACTAAAGCCCTAAACATCAAAAATGAAAATAGGGTACTGTTATTTTATGTTTGTTTTTAGCAATTCAGAAATGACTGGCCCTAAAATAAAAACAACCAAAATAATAATAATAATAATTCTCTTAAAAGTAATCCCCAGGATGTAAATAAGATGTGTATATACCCTTATTTAAAGAAATAAGGCAAGGAATAAAGAGATAAAGACATACAAGTAGATCCACTTCATCATTGTGATATCCAAGTTTTCCCTTAGATAAAAAAAAGACATAAAACGTGCTTTACGAGCCTCGGATGACCTTCAAGACATCTAAGCACAGTAACTATGGATTTTTAAATGTAATTAACAACTCCCGTTTTTCTATTTAAAGAATTCAAGTTCTGGTTTCTCAACAAGCAAAACCCAATCAATCCTGTTCTCAAATGCTAATACAAGCACTTTGAAAATAACATTAATTGAAATGCTGCAGGGTCTGTTAGGTTTTTGGATGGTGGATTATCTTTACCCCTGTCACCTTTAACCTCGTGGCATAGAGAAGCACCCTTTGTGTGATCCATCTCTGGGACAAAGAACTGACTTTTGAAACCCAGCAGAGAACTGCAGAAGACCATAGAACTGTGAGAAACCTTAGGCGCTCCAGCTAGAATGTTTATTTCACCTGGTAGACAGAACGTGACAGATTGTTTCATTTACAGCATTATATTAATTTTCTGGTTTTGGTAACAAAAATACAGTGCTCATTTGTACTGTTGTAAAACTTGTAAATATGCCCTGTAGGATAAGTAATATTCAAAGCAACATCCTAATTAAAAGGAAAACTCAGTTGTCTTGCAAAATAATATAAGAGGGCACATAAATTGTAAATAAGATACATGGTAAAAATGAAAAAGACAGGCTGGATAGGAGAGGAATGAAATAAGATTTGGAAATGTGCTTCTTAAATGAACACAAATTGTGAGATAATGTCTCATTGAACAATAAAAATAACAAACCAGTAGTAAAGATGTAATAGAATTTCCTGTGTATACCATTTTAATCTTAATATAATTTTCCCCAGTGCATCCACGTTTATTGAACTACTACGACCATTTCTTTCTCACTCTGTCCAAAGTTACTGAGAATGTGGTTTTTGCTGTAAATAATTCCCTGATTATGAACATGAAAATGATCCAGAAATTGACCACAGTTTATAAAAGAAAAAGTGACATAGCATCTGCTCAGGGCCAAAAGCCCAAAAGTATGCTCTGTTTTGTTAGGGAAGCAGAGTGAGAATACAGAAAACTACCTTCCCCACTTCCTCTTGTTTTAAGATGACTCCACAACATTGTTTCTTTTTCCTCTCTTCAAAAAATGCATAAGACTTCCATGGCACCCCAACCTACAGTGTGCTGGACAGAGAATAGGGCTGATACCAAGGAAGTGCCAGGTCCAGTTAACAAGTACTAATGAGACTTGAGAAAGATGCACAACAGTACAGACTCAGTGTCTCAGTCTGCAAATGGGGATGAAAATACTTACCTCTTAGCTTCAAGGCTGATACATAAATGGATGTTTAGTAAATATTACTGAAATATGGATGTGAGGGTCCAAACTTCATATATGTAATAGATTGGTTGGAGAGAAGGCATGGAGACCAGAGGGAGCCCTGCATCTACTACTGACCCCTAATGAGGAAGCTCAGTAAAATTCCCAACTCCAATCAACCCCATATACATCTCAGACATTTCAGCTACAAATGTAATGATTCTTCACCTCACCTTTGCTCACACTCATGTTGGTCATTCAAGTCATGTATTTATTTTATGAAGTTCTAAGTATCTAAATTTTTTTCTAAATACCCAAAAGTAGAAGCCATGCCCTGCTTATTACTTTGCTTTTAATCAGGTGTCATTCTGCAATAGGAATCTTTTTTGCCAAACATCAATACTCAAATACCTTTTGTATCATTCAAAGTCTAATTTATTTTATTATTTTATTATTATCCAAAAGTTCATGAGGCAAGCGAAAAATGTGCTTGTTCAAGTGTGCCAAATATATTAACAAATACATTTTATAATATAGGTTATCAATTAATTCCTTTGTTGAAAAGAATGCATAACTATGTAATATAATTAACCTTAAGCTAAACAGTAGAAAAATTATGGATCACACAGTATTGAATCTACTAAGCAAAAGTCACTTATGTAACCAGAATAAGTAAGCTCATAAACAAGTATTCTTATAATAAGTGGTCTTCTGTTTAGCTTGGACTTTTTTAAGCTAAACAGTAGAAAAATTATGGATCACACAGTATTGAATCTACTAAGCAAAAGTCACTTATGTAACCAGAATAAGTAAGCTCATAAACAAGTATTCTTATAATAAGTGGTCTTCTGTTACAGTTGCTAATCATGAGCATCTTATCTTTATAATCTTTGCATTATTTTTTTCTAGAAAAATTTGTAAAGATTTAAAGTTTCCAAGTCTATCTGATTTTTTAATATAAAAATCAATTTTATTGATTTTCTATTCTACTTTTTCCAAACCTTATGGATCAAAATACAATTAAAGTCAAGGCTATAATTAATACATCCCCAGGCATTACATATCCACACTTCTTAATCACAGATCCACTGGTATGAGCTGTTGATTACAGAGGCAACTTGAAGTTGGTTTCCTTTCCAGAAGCAGAGGACTCTTCTCCAGGTGACACTTCCCAGCCATCTTTCTTAAGGATTTGCTTCTAGCCCATTGTTCTGGATGATCTTGGCATACTCCTTGGCTGATGTATAAGGGACTCGGGGTCTAGCTGGGTCTTCAAAGTCAACGTGGAAAAGACCAAACCGACTACTGTATCCGCTGTTCCACTCAAAGTTATCCAGAAGAGACCATGCACAATATCCTTGAAGATTGACTTTGTCAAGTTGTATAGCTGAAATTTTTTAAGAAAGAAAAATTACCATTTCTGGGAAGGTTTTATGAGAACACAGACAAAATCACTGATGAGCAGTATAGGTCTCTTTCTCCTGCTCTGCAGGGGATCACAGTAGGAACAGACAAAACCTGCTCTCTGTACCCTTTTTCACACAAAAAAAATTATAAGTATGTGAGGTAATATGTATGTTAATTAGCTTGATTTAGCCATTCCACAATGTATACATATATCAAAGCATCATGTTTTACACAATAAATATATATAATTTTTATTTGTCAATTTTTAAAAACTTTCCTTTTTCAGTTTCCTGCTTGAACTAACCAAGGGCTTCACTGAAGAAGTTAAGTTATATATTATTTTAATTATTTGGTTATTCATTCATTTTGATATTTGTTTTATTTATTCATTATTTTTTGAGCATTTTTCTAATACTTACTACTTTTCAGGTACAAAGATACACACATACACACAGAGTTCCTCCCTAGTACCTAGAAGTGTGTTTAGTAGACTCTGTCCAGCTTCTAAACACAGCCTCAGGATAGTCCAGAAAGTTCATTAGTAAATTGGAATAGGTGACAATAGCATGCCTGGGGAAGCTCCAACACTTACCTTGTGTCCCTATGTCCAAACTAAGACACGTCTTACAATTCTGGAAAAAGAACCTCCAAAATACAAATAGAACACAGCTCTGGTCATGAATGAGTCATAGAATGAGTAGGCACAAAAGTGCTATAGCATCCTGTCTCAATCCAACTGGGTGGCTATAAAAGAATACCATAGACTGTGTGGCTTATAAACAATAGGAATTTATTTCTCACATTTCTGGAGGGTGGGAAGTCTAAGATCAAGACGGTGGCAGATTCAATGTCTTGTAAGAAACCACATCCTGTGTTCACACAAGACCATCTTCTCACCATGTCATCATATGGCAGAAGGGGTGAGGAAGCTCTCTCACGTCTCCTTTTATATGGACACTAATCCCATTCATGAAGGCTATATCATCATGACCTAATCACCTCCCCAAATCCCCACTTCCTAATATCATCATATTGGGAGCTAGGATATCAACATGAATTTGAGAAGAACACGATATTCAGTCTATAGCATATCCCCTCTGCCTCATGTCTAAGCTCGGAATGGTCCTTAAGCCCTTTCAGAGCCAAAACAATGGATAATCTCTCCAAAAAATATGCATATGTACAAACAGAATATTCTATATAATTTCATTTGTGAGTGCCCCAAAGCCCATTCATGGACTCCATGTTAAGATGCCAAGGTAGGGAGAATTCTCTAAATAGTTTTACACTAATTTCCATTATTTTATTCAGGGAATTGAGCTCACTTTTTATTAGTATTTTTAGTTTGGTAAAACTCTAGGGTTGTGTGAATCTTTGCGTTGAGCATTTTCTTTTTTAAAACCAGAATAAGTAAACCCAATCTATGGGATGCACTAATATCTGTGTCTCAGTGCGGAAATTACATGAAAAGGCAGGTTTGATTTACAAGATAGACATATTCCTAAATAAACTGGGTGAAAATGAGCATTCATATAATAAATCATTTTAACTGTACTGGGGATTACTTTCAACCAAAATAACTCCTCTAGCTAAACATTTAGCAAAGCAAGACCAGCCCTTTAATTTTTTCCTTGGAATCAACCTGTATTTTTCAGGTCTCTCAAAAATACTGTACCATATTCTACTACACCTGTGTTAGTCTCTAGACTTTCTTGGAATTTTTTTTTTTTTTTTGGCTGCAGATATTCCATAGACAAAAGGTGCTTGACAGGTTAATTGACACACAATCCCTTCACATTTGTGCATGAAGTCATGCAAAGTATTTTGCTTAGAGAGTGCCTTACAAAAGGCCTTGAAACAGGAATTAAGCCAAGCTGAACTGGATCTTTTTAGATATAGTATTGTTGGAAAATGAAAAATGTAGCATTCACACACATTAAGCTTTGCAGGAATAAAAGAATTTACTAGATATTCCTTCTTTTCCTACTTGTCCACATGTGCCCTCTATGTCACCCATAATCTGGAAAATATCATTTTTTAAGTAATCTCTTTTTTAAAATTTAAGTACTGGATAGCATATCTCTAAGAATCAAAACAACCAAAGCCAAATACCAGACCAGGAAACAACAATCTTCTCTGCCTTGTAATTCAATCTGGGGACATGTGAGAATCTGCATATTTCCTTTCTTATTTGCAGAACTCCTGTCCAACAAGAAAGACTGCCAGGTATAAAGCCAGACAGTTTCTGAAAACACACACAATCCCACTGATCATGCATAGAAGGATTGATTCATGTGCTAAACCAGGGGGGAAAAACGATACCCTGCCTGCTTGGAAAGGAAGAAAAAGGAAATCTTGACAATTTCATTGTTAACTGCCAGGAGTTCCGCAGCAGGCACTAAACTGCCTGAGTGACACTGGTGGATGCCTCTGCATTTTCATTGCAGGAACATTCAAGTAGAGAATTACCTAGCTACGGCTGAGGAGCTAGCCTGCTGGAATCCTTCTCACCACGCCACCACTGGGAAAAATTACAAAACTGCACTGGAACTTACACGCCTCTCCTCTTCCCATCTCTTCAAGAATGTAAAAAGACCATCATCCCATTTCTTGTCACCATGATTTATGAGGTCCCACATCTTGACAGGGAAGAAAACACTTCTATGAGTTCACTTTCTTTCTGTAACCAGAGTTGGAAGCAAAGTAAACACAGACTGGCAGGAACGTTGGATGGGTACAAAGCATGCTAGAATAAAAATGTCACCCATCACAGAATCAGAGTTTGGTCTTGGACTGAAAAGCCAGTGGAAAGGGTCTCACAGTTAGCAGGTTGGATGTAATGATGCAAGGAGAAAAATACCTAAGCCTTGCTAACATGGTACAGTTTGGGTCAGGCTGTTCTACTTATAAAAACCCCATGCTGGTGTAGTACACACACACACATGCATACAGGCATACACACACACACACACACACACACGCTCACACTCACACTTCCCAGAGTTAGCCAAACTGAAAAGTTTGAGGACTGCCAACCAATCATAAGACTGCCCTCACTTCATACACCCACTGCAAGTTCAAGACCAAACTGAAAAGGTTGAGGACTGCCAACCAATCATAAGACTGCCCTCACTTCATACACCCACTGCAAGTTCAAGAGGTTCCCAAAACCACCTTAATTTGGGTAATTTGCAAGGACTAACAGAACTCACTAAAAGCTGTCATATTCATGGTTATGGTTTACCAGGGAAGCACACCTGAGCTTCCTTGTGCAGTTTTTATTGGAGGCTTCATTATATAGTCATGATTGATTGATTGATTTCCCATGTGGATGAACTTAGTTTCCTGGTGAACTGATACCAGGTGACCCAAAGCCTCCACTCCAAGTCACAAGGTTGGTCTTTCTGTCATGTCTAACCCCTGACCCTAAACAAAGACATTTTTATCAAGTATGACATAGATTACCTCCTGGACATTGAGGGCAAAGGCCAAACCACTCTTTGGGGAAAGTCACACACTAGACACACACACGTGCACAATCATACACACACAGAGACACATATACACTTATTATAGAAACTCATTATTTCATGGGACTGGGCAGAATCTTCTCAAGTTACTGGTTTATGAAGCACCATAATTATGCCTGTATTTGTCACATTACAAAAGTCTAGAAATTGGGAGTTCAGCATCGATGGGATTTATTACCCAGTAATTTATAAACAGAGATAGCCTTAATTTTCAGGATTGTCTAGGACTTATATAAGATACCCATGAATGTGGCAAAACCATCAAGTTATCAGACAAATCACTAATTCACAGACCCAAGCTGCCATGACAACAACCAGTGGAAGGGTGGCAGCCTCACAGAAAAAAAAAAAAAAAAAAAAAACCGAGAGATAAAACTCCAGGAGTGAGTGGGAAGGAAATATGTAGGCCTTTAGATTTCTGTGTTCAGCTAATGGCAGGCTACGTGATTTCTGCAAATCCTCCTAAAGAAAACAAGTAGAAGATGCAGGACACAATTTTTAAAGTAAATCTTTAAACCAATGGAAAGCTGAAAATTTCCAAGGGAATTACCAGGTCAAATTTGAAAGTAGGATTTGTAGATATGGTAGCTATATTAGCCTAATGGAATTTTCCAATCTTAGGAAATCTGAACCTTTTCCTTTTTTCTGGGATGAAGTTAGGTATCAAATGGATCACACTAGATGGAAGTCTAGTATGATACCTACACACAGAAAACTAAGACCCCAAAAGACCCAACCCTCAAAGTAATGGTGAGAGTGACCCAGAAGCAAACTAGTTATTGGGAAGTCTTGGAGTCATCTGATGGTTCAGCAAAGTCTTTTCTGGATCTTAGATTGAGGTGATCTCAGACTGTAGTACCCCCAAGTGCCTGGCAGATGCACATTCAAATTCTTTTTGAAGGGAGGTACCTATTCAAAACCTCCAATTATTATTACAAATATTTTTAAGTATGATCATCAGCACATAATCAAATACAATGAGACAGACTGGAAAAATGATGATGTTTAAAAAAAGAAATTATCAGAATCAGCAGAAAACAGAAAACAACTTACAAAGCTCTCAGTTATCAGAATTGTCATACAGACTATACAGTAACCATGTTCACTGTGTTTAAAGCACAGAGACAAACTTGAAATATTGTCAAGGTTTAGGAACCTATAAAAACCGATGTGAACCTCTACAGATGTGGCTTTTAATCTCAGATGCACCAGTTACTTGCTGAAAGGGGCCTCTCATTTCTCACGGGTACAATGGAAACACTGCTATATCCTTTTAGGGCTGCTGTAAAGATTAAATAAAATAACATGAACCCCAGTAAAATACTCAGCCAATGCTGGGTTTCTGTTGT